ACAGACACATCATGGCATTTTAATATCTTTTCCCAGGCCTTCATGGCTGCTCTACCAAGTGCTAGTCTGTGGCATATTTCTGGACTGCTTGTTCCTTTACTGTTGATGGTTGAACGTAAAAGGCAGAAGCTACCCACCACTTCAATATCTTCATAGTCAATTCTAAGGCTGGTACAACCAAATTAAGTTGGATGCCAATTTCAGTCCGCTCTCATCATGTATAATAAATTATCCCAAAATAACAGTTCTCTTCAAATTACATATTGACATGACTATGATTGTAATCATTACCATATAATGGCAAGACTGACAAATATATTTTTATCTTTCTATGGACTTTCCTTTTGTTTCTTATACTCAAGATTTATATTGTATTTATCAATAGGTATTAGAATCCATTAACCACAGCTGTTAGATACAATGACTAAGAGAACTGTCCAACAGATGGGGAAGGTTTCTTAGACTGCCAGATGCAAATGCATAGAAGGCCGTCTTATATAAAGTCAAACATCTGACTCAGTACTGTTACACTGTTCTTCCCAAATTTGGTCCTCTTCAGATTGCCAAAAATTCCAAATTGGAAATTCTGTAGATTGCCAATACTATAGACCTGATTCAGAAGGCTGATATAGATACACAATTAGCTGCCTTCAAGGTTTCAGCTAAGATATTTGTTCAGCCAACCCATAATGTAGTTTCATACTAGCTTGGCACATTACATGAATCAGCCTTTGTGTTTGGTAAAGTATCATTCATGGCTTAGCATGAAATGTGACTCCTGCCAAATGTGGCTCATTTAACAAGCTATGATTAACAAAACGTGGCATAGAGATCTCTGAGGTCAACCAAACATTTTTTCTAGTTCCATATGAAGATGCTAAAGCCTGAAATTAAGGCATGTTTCATGTGCAAAACATGTGCTCTAGTGGTGAGCCAGGGTCTTTCCACAAGGACACCTTAGACAAATGGGACTGTTTTTACATCTAGGACCTGTCCTTTAGGACACACATTTTTAAAATATAGAATCTATTTGATCCCTATTGTAAGCAAAATATTGGGTTAGCTGAACTTGTTCTGAAGAGTTTCTTCTCATGGCATACTTTACGGCATTTCATAGTAAGAAGAAAAAAAAATTCTATATATTTTGTTCTCTTTAGGTTCACTTAACACCATCAATTATGTCTTTATTTATTTAAACAATTTATAGGTTTTCCATCTCACCGAAATGACTCTAGGCAGCCTACAAGGCATGTCTGAACTGAACAAATCTAATCTTTATATTAAAAAAAATTCTGAACACAACAAAACAAACCTTTGCTTTGGTTAGGTATATATCTGGTGTCTGAATAACATTCACGTTCATCTTAAGCCATTAATTTTTTCTCCCAAGTACATTAGACAGGTATCCAAGACCCAAGCAAGTAATTTATATATGTATACAAGTTGACAGAGTTTGGGAATCCAGGCTGGAAAAGATATTTATTATGGTAACCAGTCAATCCTATGCCTATCTACTCAAAAATAAGTCCCAGTGAGACCAATTAAGCTTTCTTCAGGTAAATGAATACAGAATTGTAACTATAAAATTGTGGCTTGAGGATCAAACATCATTTCTTTCTACTGCTCCAGTATTATGGCATCCCATGGACTGTAGGATACAGTCGTCCCCATAAAGGAGATTCAATTGTGAATCTCTTCAAACCCTGCAGAATACCCTACACTAATAAATTTTTTCATCTCAGGGCTACAACTTAAGACAAAAGAGTTGATCTGCATAATACAGCCAGACTTTAGATATACGTCTCAAGTCAACTGTATTATTAAATCAATCAACAAACTCTGGGCAGCTCCACAGAGTTAAAAGAGTAATTTCACAAAAACAACAAAATCTATAAAACCACCACTATTCAAGGAAACAAAACCATCCTCCCAAATTCTTAAAGAAGAATTTGTGCCAACTGTGTAGCTGGCATGCATAATTTCCCTCCTACTCACTGCAACGGTAAGGAAGTTAGGACTCTCCTAACAGGAAGAAATGACAATTTTCCCACATTTCTGCCAGCAGAGCTTTGGATCTAGAGGAATTTCTGACACTGAACTTATCCAGAAGGACTGCCCTACACATTTACTAGACATCTAGGACTTTAACAGTATCCTGAGGAGTGAAAGTTTAATGTAGAGTCAAACAAATCAGAATAACTCTGGAATTCAGAGTCAATATATTTTTGAATCACAGCAGCACAAAGGATCTGTCTTCAGATTAAATAGATTTGGGATCCATGGCATTTTGAATAAGTTGATAACATAAAATGAATCTAATTAAGGCAAGTGTAATACTGAGTGCTTATAAAATATACATTTTCTATATATTTGTTACATTTAAAAAGTATTTCTAAAAGACAAATTAATCATACTTCTATATACACCATTTGCATGTTAAGCATTATTGTTATTTAACCTAGATAGACAAGACCATATGCAGGGGTTGATACTTCACACAGGCAATCATGACACCTGCTGACATCAGTGGGAAATTGTATATTCAAGACAATTCTTTTTCAACTTGGCATTCTCAAGCATGTTAGAACTATAATTCCCAGCCAGTTTCTGGGAACTGTAGTTCCAGCACATTTGGATAAAACCTGACTGGGGAAGACTGACCAAGGAATTCCAGCCCGGACCAATAAGCTATAGCATGCATTCCAATATACCACATTGCTGAAAGAACCTACCCCTTTGATAATTTCCAATTGTAGCATGTTGACAAAGACTGATATTCCACATTTTTGAATATGCTGTCAACATTACATGGGGACAAACTTTGGAATAAAGTTTAAATGCATGTCCTGTGAAAATGGGTTATCAATACATATAGGACCTTCTGATTTCAATGGTAAAACTTTAGATTTCAGCATAGATTATTTCTTATGCAACCACAATAAACCTTCTTTGGCAATCTTTGCCTATTATGAGATAATTATGACTAATTATTGTTAATGTAAGTACACTCGGCCTTCCTATATTGTTTTGCTGCCATTTTTTGCTGTATACCTATAGAACAGATCTTTCTTCTCTTTTCAATTCAGTATAAATTTATTATTTGTATTAATAATACAACACATAGCAGCATGCTAGGCCAGGCCAGGCCAGGCCATGCCATGCCATGCCAGGGAATTTCAATCAAAAGATTTCAGACTCTGCCCTCCCCATTTTTAGCATAATGAGTATTAACCACATCATGAAAACTCTGTTGCATGGTACCAGTCACATTATTATCAAGCGTTAGAGGCTAAATAATATAATGAAATGTGAATCCAACACTGACATGTCAACACTGCTGTACTGCTATATTTTCCTAGGTATGCTACTCCCCACAGTAATATTAGCCATGAGACTACACTGATCAGTCAATAGATGTCCTCAAAGCACAAACAAATGCTCCTAATACCAGTTATAACATTTTTGCTCACATTTTCGATACTAATACTTCAGCCAAAAAACCAGTATCCTACCACTATTACTAGAAAGGGAAAATAGAATATGGGCTGAACTCTCTCTTACATAGGTACAATCTCAGAGAAGCAGCACACAGTTGCAAGGCCAAAGGAAAAATGGGGTGTAAAGGATGGCCAACAAGTGGTTGTTTTTTTTGTTTGTTTGTTGCTTCTCTTTACTCTGAGGCTATCCTCAGCATACTAGGCTAACCACTTAAAGGGGTGCAATTATCCTTTAAAAATTGGGCTGAGGAAAAAAAATCATTGCCAATGGGATAGGTAGGGGAAAGAAAAGCTCATTTCCTTTCATGGGGAACAAATAACAGCTATCTACAAAAATAAAGGCTGGAGAAAAATGTCAAAATATGACACTAAAGGTCGCCTGCAAGCAATACGCAGAGGTGCCTCCTGATCCATTAAGCAACTCAAATGCTACCTGCCAGATGTTCTTTCTTTAACGGATGTTCCTGGGTCCTCTTAAACAAGGTAAACGATGATTCTACTCTAGGAAGAGGGTCAACAGTAAATGGTGATTATCACGGAGGATGAACAACCTCTCTAAAGAGAGGAGGAGGAGAAAGCACAAACCTTTTTATTTCGTGGAAAATGAGAAAAAAAGCAGGTGTGGCAACCTGCTCTATATCTCTGGCCAAGGGAGGGGGAAAACACTCTCGTGCAAAGGGAAAATAATGCCTCCGTCTTGCCTCAACCCACATAATCAGGTATAATTATCTCTCTCACACACACATAAAGGTCCTCTCTGCACACCGGAGGAGAAAGACAAAGCAGCAGGCGACGAGATGGTCGAAGAGAGGAGGAGAGGCAGCGACTCACCTAGTCCCGTCAGAACAAGGAGACGAAATGACTTTGGAAAGTGTCCCGTAAGCTAAGGGACAAAGCAGCTTATTTCCCGCTTCTTCGAGAAGCGAGGTAAGCGGAGGAAGGAAGGAAGGAGGAAGAAGACACGCTCCCCACCCAGCAGGCAAATGCGGGCAGGCAGCGAAGGGGTAACCCACCTATTCCAGTGCACTGAGAGAAAACGCGCTCGTCGGTGTGTGCGAGGAAAAGGAAACTGCCGTGCTTTCCACTCCAACCAACCACACAAGCAGACCACAGCTACAGCGCGCACAACCGGGGGGAAAGATAACAGGGAGGGAGGAGTCATCGGCTCC